TGGTAGTGGCTTGAGCCATCCCATACCATATGAATCTACAAGTGCCTTCCATATTCCGTGTATTTCCAAAAGCCTAAGCCTCTCGCCCAAACACACCCACATGAGGAAGAGGGACGACGCTTTTAATGACCTCATGGTATCCCTACAACTCCCACCCAAGCCCCCCAACCACACCCACGGTTCCTCATCGCGCAGACAACAACCGGAGCACACCATTGGCGGGAGGGTTGACGATTCTGCTGCAGCATACATAGACTTAGACAGTATTGGAGTATAACCCCCACAAGGACCTCGTTTCAGGAACATGAAGTTTTGGGATTTGGCCAAGCTTCAACAACCCAAGGAAGATAGCTAAAGTCTTGAGCTCGCAAGGGTCGGTGCTACCTCTGTGGCGAGAAAGGGTGCCAGCCTTATTGCTATAGACAGCGTACTTTCCTTCGTCTGTTTGATGAAGCTGTTACCTTAACATGTGTGTCTGGAAGTTGGGGCGAATGAATAAGTTTCCTCGCAATTCTAACGCTCGCTGTTTATGCTCAGTAAAAGCAGCTCATAATTGCCCGGTCGCCTACGGATGAATGGGCACGCTCTTGTTATTCTTCTTGCTGGCTGGCCCATGCTGGGAGTGTGAAACGGTGAATTCTCATTTGTACGTGAGGATTCTGAGCTGCATTCTGAGCTGCCATTGGGATTGCAGATCCGTTCCAAAATATGAAGTTCGATGTTATTGAATCCTGAACGGAAGCCGTTCAGGATTGATAGAATATCCAAGGGTCACTGCAACAATTGCTGTAGCTGCGCTCCTTGAAGCCTTGAGTGTAACAGCTTGACGTCTGCACCCAAGGGAAGGAACAGCAGGTTTAGTGTTCTAGAGTCATGGATGTGGTATAAAAGCTTGAGAACGTTGGTGTAGGCGGTGCCTGATCTAAGTATCCGCCTCACAATTCCACGCTGCATCGTTTGCAGCCTTCCACTTAACGTGTGAGGCACAGCAAGACCCACTGCAAGCTCCATGGCGACCTACCGAAGGGCCCGCCGGAGGTGAACTCGATGCGAATTATGTGAGCCATAATCTAAACTCCTTGAAGGGGGACTATATAGGGGACTAATATAGGGCTTTTTAAGGGGGATACTAGGAGTTTAGACTATGGCTCATGTGACGTCAGGTTTAGGGCATTTGGTGTTGCGAGTTCGAGCGCAAGGGCTTATGCTGCCGACAGTTCGCTTATAGAGTTGAAGCTTTGCAGCCCGCAACGATCGCTGATGAACTTTGACATTGGTGATCCCTAAGCGTGTTTTCAATTGTGGGTTGGTTGTATTTGGAGCATTCTACGTTGACATCGTTGGGGAAACGTCTTCCCGCCTTCTGTGGCTTCAATCCGCTCACTTGGCCAGTCGAACACACAGAGCTTGGCATGCAAGTGTTGTGGTATTCTTGTTGTTGAAGACACAAGATTCCTCATCTCTCCTGATGAGCGACATGTCTGCTACATCTATTCGTGCCTCCCGTGCAGGTTGTGGCAGGTTGTTGAGTATGCGCAGATGCAAACGTTTCACAAGATACCATGCACTCAAAGGACCAGCGACGTGTGGAGCATGTGCCTGAAAACAATAGACTCTCGCTCCAGCTAAAATCCATCTCAGAGAAATGATGAATCTGCAGCTGCAGGGCTGTCACTTCACCAGCACCATTTGCCAAGTTGTTAGCAAAGTGTCCTAACCATGTCAAGTACAGCAGCCTTGAAGCATCATACTGATAACAACAGGTACAGAACCCGAATGCAGTATTACAATAACTTTCAGCAACAACACAAGGTTGCAGCACAACCGCTGCCTTAGGGCCTTCTGCTTTGTGAGTGAAATTCGGACGAGGACTCGACAGGTTGCTACTGTACCCGGTCATCCTTCACTGGATTGAGCTCGCTGAGCAGTGCAAAGCCAGCAGCGGACAGAGTCACTTCAAAAAGTATCCGCTCACAGCTTCACAAGCATTCCTGCTGTTGCTTTGTTTAAATGGGTGTTTCCGGCTAACACGCGGTCAACAATAATGTGTCGATCGTGGTCTGTTTCGGGGTATGTGTCAAGGTATGTTTCGAGTATGTTTCGGTTATGTTTCGCAAGTCATGGCTCTTGACAAAAGGGACGTTGTGGGGGCATGTTTCGGGGTATGCATCGAGGTATGTATCCGCGTATTAGCGGAGGGGTCAAGCATGCGTCCATACAGGACTTCCTGACACACCATTTTTGAAAACAGCCAAAGTATTGTTCTGCTTTTGCATAGAATGGTAACGCTTTTGCCCCAGCTGGCATCGCAACCTGTAGCAAAGTCTGCAGAGCAGCGAAATCTAGAACTGCATTATGTAGCTGCGTTGAGGCTGTCAGATTATTTGGGCTTTGTTGGTGGGTGCTACCACTCGCAGGGCACAACTGGTTATTGAATGATGTAGTTTGGCTTTTGGGCAGGTTGCCCCCGGAACACCGCGCTGTCATGCGATTTTATGGT